GGACTCTTCCCTAGGTCTGCTGCCAGTCTCGGATGGGGCGGGCTGGCACCTGACCTGAGGCAGCAACAGCAGGCTCTTCCAGAACAGCTGATGTCACTTGGCTTCACCAATCAGATCACCTCTCCAAAATGGTGCAAGGATATTTGGCAAGTAATGGTCGGTTAGTAAGGAATGTAGTGTAAGAAAGAATCGAATTCATGGCCAGGTCTGGGCCCAAATCCCCAAACTGAGAGCTTCCTGGTGCAGCCGTGATTCTAGAACACCCTCCCTTCTGGTCTCCATAAAACCCAGTTGCTGTTCAGAATGGCTGTGAGCAATTGCTTCCTGTAGAACCCCTGGTGAGTCTTTTGATGAATCCTGTTTTCAGAGGTAGCTGATTCCCAGTGACTGGAAGGCTCAGAGGGGCACAGGCTGCACAACCGGTGCCCCTCCCCTGACAACCACTCCAGAAGTGAAGTCAGGACGCTGAGCCAACAGACCTCCAAGAGCCCACCCGGCTGTAGCAGCGGATGGTGCAGAAGCAAAACGAGTGGCTGCCACCGAGGGTTCAGGAGGACTATCCTTCATTCCTTCACTTGTTCATTCAGCAACTGAGACTGTGACCTCATCTGTGTGAGGCCCAGGCAGGTCTGAGAAGGTCTGCCCAGGGCTCTGAGCCTCAGCATCTGAGGCTTCTGGTCCTTCTTCCCCCACTTCTGGGCCTTGCTGGAGGGCAAGCCTGGGGTGAAGGAGGGGAGGACAGAAAGGAGGCAGCGGGGAGCTATGCCAGGCCCAGTCCAGGCCACCTGCCCTGCATACGGGGGAAGGCCCGTGGGGTATATCTCCGGCACCACTATCAGAATTGACAACCCTGGGCTCTGATTGAAACCCTCAGTGCTGGTGGTCAGCTCACGGCGTGCGGTTTCCAAACGCTCTCCTGCTGCATCCTCTTGAGAACCTTGGAACCCTGAGGGGGGGCAGGCAGAGCTGGAACCCAAACTCTGATCCCGGGGCTGCTCCCAGCTCCAGCCTCCTGAGCTGTCTGGGCACAGCCTGAGTATTTAAAATCTCATCAGCCCCTTACCGGCGCTGAAGTGTTTAATGTGAAGCTGTCACCCACTTGGCAGGTGCCCCATTAACTGGCGTGCTCGTGGAAACCTGTGGCTTTGAAGCTGGGGAACTTTTCAGTTTTACCATTTAAGCTAATAGGAAGAGGCAACGACTCTGTTTGTACTTATGCATCTCTACAACAGAGCGGGTTCCCCACAGTTGCTATGGCTACCTGGAGCCTCCGGCTCTGTTTGGGGGCTATAATTATCCCTGCAGCAGCCCTCACCATGGCGAGGGTAGGAGAGCTGCAAACGATGGTAGGCGAGCCGGGTTGCCTTTGCGTGCAACACTGTCTGCACATACGTGTGTGCCGGCGCCTAGATACACACGTGGCTAAGGTCGACGCCCAGTGGGGCAAAACTGGGTCCCATCAAGTCACCCACCCCCCTCCTCCTTTTCCTTTTCACGTCACAAAGGCCCTTGAGTTCAAAAGTTTGAAACTTGTAGAATCATCATTTGTCTTCAAATTTCGAAGGTTTGAGATCCCAGAATTAAACCACTAGAGTGCCAGACTTCAACTTCCACTGCTCTAGAAACTTGGATTCTAGATTCCTCCATCATTGGATGCTAGAGAGAGAAGAGTCTATAATGACAGCTGAGGAGGCCTTCAGGGGTAACTATTTCCATTTCTCACTGCAGGGAGGTTTCCCTAC